TTAAATACATTTCGTAATTTTCCTTTATCATAGATTTCAGTACTTTTAATACTGATGTATCTGCTTATTTGGAAGGATTCTATCACTAATACAATAAATATACACATTTTTTTACCCGTGCTCTCAAATTGTCTGGTCTATCAGGATAAAACTTTGTGATCGCAAACTCAAACATATGCGAACTCATTTAAAGCGGGGAATGTCACGCGCTGTGAAAAATCAGTATCTAAAGAAATAATTGAATCTCTAGGGTCACTTATACTCTTCTGTACAACTTGAATGAAATCTACGGGCGATGTTTTTTCTGTCTGGGCATTGAGGGATTAAGGAAATGTTAAATCAATTTGTGACCTTAGTAGTATTATGTTAAAGTACATATATTAAGACACAAATGTACTTACTCACCTACATGTGTGTATTAAACATCGACTGATCATTACCAAGCTGTTTAAATCGTTCTCTATTGTCTGATATCATTGGAAAAGAATTTGTTATTCTCTGTTGTTTGATGTGATTGGACAAGATTTTGCAATTCTCTGTTGTTTGATGTGATTGGACGAGATTTTGTAATTCTCTGTTGTTTGATGTGATTGGACGAGATTTTGTTGTTTGTTGTGATTGGACGATAGTTTGTACTCTGTTGTTTGTTGTGATAGATTTTGTAATTCTCTGTTGTTTGATGTGATTGGACTAGATTCTCTGTTGTTTGTTGTGATTGGACGATAGTTTGTAATTCTCTGTTGTTTGTTGTGATTGTACACGATTTTGTAATTCTCTGTTGTTTGATGTGATTGGACGAGATTTTGTAATTATCTGTTGTTTGTTGTGATTGGACAAGATTTTGTAGTTCTCTGTTGTTTGTTGTGATTGGACGAGATTTTGTAATTCTCTGTTGTTTGATGTGATTGGACGAGATTTTGTTATTCTCTGTTGTTTGATGTGATTGGACGAGATTTTGTAATTCTCTGTTGTTTGATGTGATTGGACGAGATTTTGTTTCTTCTTTTGTAATTCTGTTGTTTGATGTGATTGGATTTTGTAATTCGAGATTTTGTTTATTCTCTGTTGTTTGTTGTGATTGGGCTGTTGTTTGATGTGGAAGATTTTGTTTTTCTCTGATTGGACGAGATTTTGTTATTCTCTGTTGTTTGATGTGATTGGACGAGATTTTGTTTTTCTCTGTTGTAAGATATCATTGGACAAGATATGGTTTTTCTCTGTTGTTTGATGTGATTGACTCTGTTGTTTGTTGTGATTGTAGATTTTGTAATTCTCTGGTTATTCTCTGTTGTTTGATGTGATTGGACGAGATTTTGTTTTTCTCTGTTGTTTGATGTGATTGGACGAGATTTTGTTATTCTCTGTTGTTTGATGTGATTGGACGAGATTTTGTTTTTCTCTGTTGTTTGATGTGATTGGAAGATATTTTGTTATACTTTGTTGTCTGATATACTTTGACGGGGTTTCGATATTTTCTGTTTAATCTGATACTTTTTTTTCAACAAGAAGACATAACTTTCATGTCTAGCATGTTGTTGGGTCGTTTTACCAAATATTTGTCGTACATTCGGCGGAGTAGCATGTTCCTCTCCTATATATATTCCCAGACATGTCATTTGAGTTGAATGTGGCTCGACTGCCACGGATATTTTCATCTGGGGAATACGAATGGTGAGGTATCTATATATTTTATGTCCCACGCCGTCTCCTAGGTTTTCTCCGTGATTCTCACACTACAAAGGATGACCATTACGTTTGGTGTTCGTCCGGGTTGGGCAATCAGACATCTGTTTATATGTACTTGGCTGCTGTGTCTACTTGTTTTCTATTGAATTTGGTTCTAAATCTGATGCTAATTGACGTGGACTGACAGAAGGTTTCCAAGTATGAATCATATTAACTTATTTATTTACTGATAGTTGAAGTTTTTTCAAGGATTTTTTTCATTATTGATAGTTCAGATCCTGTCTTCGTTAAGGTGTTTCACTTTACAAAAAATAACTCTTTTGAACATTTCGTAATATAAAAGAATCGATATGTTAATTTTCAATTAGTGGATGGTTTAATTGGTTAGTGAAATCGATCTTTGCTAATGCAATGGCGAGATTTTTAAACAACATTGTATTATTTCGATAAATGGCTGAAGCGTTACGTTTTTGTAAAGGATTAGTTCAGTAAACATGGAGTGATTTTTTAACGGAATGGAAAGGTTGTCAATGTCTTGTGAATAAGACCTCGACCACTGTTGGTTTTAACACGACGTGAGTAGAAATTAATGTGTAAACCATAGAAAAGTATTTGCTTTGTAACATTAAAGTGTATAAAGATTTGTGTTGTATGGAACCTGTAAAATTTCCTATATATATATAACTGTCTGTTGGTTTAGCATAGTAGGTGTAGTTAAACATGTACAGCGCGATACACTTCATCATGATGACCTCACGTGGTCTCTACGTATAGTGTAAATCCTGGAGTAAGTGTCGTAAACCTATGACAAGTTCGTGGTCACGTGGGACCGATAGTCTAACGTCTATGTTGTGTACTGGACACAGGTTTATAGAGAGTACCTAATGACATATCTTCAGAGTAAGACAGCAATGGTTCACAATATCGACCAATACATCACTCGTAATGTAAGATTATACATGTACACAACTCCCGGCCAGAGACACGTTACATGTTTCTATGTAGACACAACTCCTGGCTAGAGACACGTTACATGTTCCCATGTAGACACAACTCCTGGCCAGAGACACGTCACATGTTTCCATGTAGACACAACTCCTGGCCAGAGACACGTCACATGTTTCCATGTAACATAACTCCTGGCCAGAGGCACGTTCATGTTTCCTTGTAGACACAACTCCTGGCCAGAGACACGTTACATGTTTCCATGTAGACACAACTCCTGGCTAGAGACACGTTACATGTTTCCATGTAACACAACTCCTGGCCAGAGACACGTTACATGTTTCCATGTAACACAACTCCTGGCCAGAGACACGTTACATGTTTCCATGTAACACAACTCCTGGCCAGAGACACGTTACATGTTTCCATGTAGACACAACTCCTGGCCAGAGACACGTTACATGTTCCCATGTAGACACAACTCCTGGCCAGAGACACGTCACATGTTTCCATGTAGACACAACTGGCCAGAGACACGTTACATGTTTCCTTGTAGACACAACTCCTGGCCAGAGACACGTTACATGTTTCCATGTAGACACAACTCCTGGCCAGAGACACGTTACATGTTTCCATGTAACATAACTCCTGGCCAGAGACACGTTACATGTTTCCCAGAGACACGTTACATGTTCCCATGTAGACACAACTCCTGGCCAGAGACACGTCACATGTTTCCATGTAGACACAACTCCTGGCCAGAGACACGTTACATGTTTCCATGTAGACACAACTCCTGGCCAGAGACACGTTACATGTTCCCATGTAGACACAACTCCTGGCCAGAGACACGTTACATGTTTCCATGTAAAATAACTCCTGGCTAGAGACACGTTACATGTTCCCATGTAGACACAACTCCTGGCCAGAGACACGTTACATGTTTCCATGTAAAATAACTCCTGGCCATAGACACGTTACATGTTCACATGTAGACGCAACTCCTGGCCAGAGACACGTTACATGTTTCCATGTAAAATAACTCCTGGCCAGAGACACGTTACATGTTTCCATGTAAAATAACTCCTGGCCAGAGACACGTTACATGTTTCCATGTAACACAACTCCTGGCCAGAGACAGGTTTCATGTTTCCGTGTAGACACAACTCCTGGCCAGAGACACGTCACATGTTTCCATGTAGACACAACTCCTGGCCAGAGACACGTCACATGTTTCCATGTAGACACAACTCCTGGCCAGAGACACGTTACATGTTTCCTTGTAGACACAACTCCTGGCCAGAGACACGTTACATGTTTCCTTGTAACACAACTCCTGGCCAGAGGCACGTTACATGTTTCCATGTAACACAACTCCTGGCCAGAGACAGGTTACACGTTTCCATGTAACACAACTCCCGGCCAGAGACACGTTACATTTTTCCGTGTAGACACAACTCCTGGCCAGAGACACGTTACATGTTCCCATGTAGACACAACTCCTGGCCAGAGACACGTTACATGTTTCCATGTAACACAACTCCTGGCCAGAGACACGTCATATGTTTCCATGTAACATAACTCCTGGCCAGAGACACGTTACATGTTTCCTTGTAACACAACTCCTGGCCAGAGGCACGTTACATGTTTCCATGTAACACAACTCCTGGCCAGAGACACGTTACATGTTTCCATGTAACACAACTCCTGACCAGAGACACGTTACATGTTTCCATGTAGACACACATCCTCGCCAGTGAAATAGTATATATAGATCGATTTCCATGTAGACAAACCTTTCCGGAGAAATGTTTAGATGACCTATAAACCTGTGTAATGTAATAATGACAATGCTTTGTAATCAGATATGAATGATACATGTAAATTTGTTCATCCTTGACATACATCGTTCATACGTTCACTCTTCTTTCGTGACAAAGTCATCATCCTCGACCTTCTACATGCCATTTATCGTCTTTTAGACATGTGCAGTACATCTTTTCTATTTGACCTTTGATTGGCCTATCAAAGATATGATCTGATCAGTTATGCCCCCATCCATACAGTTTTACCTATGTAAACTCTCAGAGGTGTCAGATGAATATGTAATGCTATGAGATATCATACTGTGGATAGTCGTATATCACTGTATAGGAAGTCCTCTTTGTAACTTCCTATACATACGTGTATATATATATCCTTATAATGTTTGTAACATCAACAAGGAGTTTGAAATAGCGAATAGTTGGCATTATGAATACAGCCATTCAGAATTAAGTAAGATCTTGTCCTTTATACATCATAACATTTTCTGTCAAAAAAAAAAAAAAAGAACCTAATATTTTTTATCTTTTTTTCTGTGTTGGCAGGATCATGCAGAATACCAGTATGTATGAAAACGTGACTGCTAATCTCAACACTACCCAGGGAGGGGTCATAGCCCCGACTCTGTCTGAGATCCTACAGACGTTCGCCCCGGCAGTGATCCTCGTGGACAGACTGATTTCGCCTATTTGGTATGTTGTCGGATTGATCGGTAACCCTATTTCCGCGTTCATATGGCTCAATCGTCGTATGCGGAAGAACAACTCTTCTGCAATTTACCTAGGAACACTTGCTGTTGTGCACACTATTTTCTTGTTTCTTCACTTCATAATGGAGCTGAACTACGCCTGGGATACTCCGACGTACAACAAGCCGGTAATATGTGCTCTGTTTAACGTTCTCTTGATCATGCCACAGTATCTCACGCCCCTTTTTGTCATGGCGTTTACCGTGGAACGTTATATTGCGGTATGTCATCCGTTTTCGAAGGAGAAGTTTTGTACAGTTACTCGGGCTATCAAAGTATCCATATGCCTGACAACGTTCTCCCTCAGTCTGGCGTCTGTTCAGGCCTATATTTGGGGCTACAAGGAAGAGCACCAAACCTGTATGTTCGCTCCGACAGAAGACATCGTAAAGTTCGAAAAAGTGTGGACCATGGTTACGGAAATGCTGCTGTTCTTCATTATCCCGGTGTGTGTGCTTGTATTCAATGTGTGTGTTATTCGCGAGATCAAGCGTATTACTGACACAGTCCCGGTGAACAGTCCACAGGCAGGGAGTGGAAGTCCCACATCCACCATTACACTGCTGTCTGTATCCTTTTATTTTATCTGTACATTACTACCGGCGTCTATTGTGTACGCGTTACAGTCTCTTCTCCCTCAAGGGGCGTACCCGTCAACCCTTCAGGAAATGGCTGTGGACCCTGTCTGGCAAAGATACTTCACGTACCTGACGATTCGCAAAGTTGTGGAGGAGATCTGCTTATCTAACAATGCCTTATATGGCTATATTTATTACATCACGGGTCCACATTTCCGGAAAGAAGTTAATAAATTGTTCGGAATTACAAAATGTAAAAAACTAGTGAAAAAATCTTCCACGCAAAGCCCTAAAACTGAATATTCTCTGGTGTCTTCGAACGGAAAGTCACAGTATGACTGTGCGTCGACGCAGATATAGACAAATTAGATGTTATGAGAGGCGACAATGATTGGCGCTGTTCATACTGCTTGTTTTATATTTCATTGTTTAACTGTAGGCAAAAAAAAATCAATTTCAAATAGACTCGAGGATGTGAAGTAACGAAGTGTAACAACTGATCCCAGAATTCTGTATAACAGTCGTATATACTGTTTGTGACGTAGAATGTACCTCTTAGTAACGAGGCGTCGAACGCAGATGTAACATAATATATACATGTATATTGTTGTGCCTGCAGATTGCCAGCGATTATCTTATGAACTGGATACGTTTGGAAATAGTGCTAAATAGCAAACATTTGTAAATAGCATATATTGATGTACGTAGAGTTTGGGTGAGCTTCACTTACCATTGGCTTGCTGTTGTATATTAATATATGCTTGTAATAAGAAGCTTCGTTATGCATAAAATATAACAGAAATTTTTGTTACGTTTTTTATTACCTATAGTCTGTGAAAAGTACTGGAATTATTTCGGTCTTCCTTACAACATACACTCAACATCGTCAGAAATTTAGGTTTTGTTACGTTTTTGATTACCTATAGTCTGTGAAAAGTACTGGAAAAGTTTCGGTCTTCCTGACAATATACACTCAACATCATCAAAAATTTCACTCTACAATGCCTTTTTCTTGAACAGATGTTCTTATATTACAAGTTAGAAAATTATGTGTAAGGAGTCTATGACTACACCGTTTCCTTCACCAAATGGCCAGTGTGGTGAGCATTGAAATACACAATGGACGTACATGACGTACAGAGAAGGTAGTAGTGTGACGAGATGACTATCAGATCACAGCGAGAACAGGTCGACTAGGTACTCTCCCATGAAAGCAGTGTTCCTCGTATTTTGAAAGTAGGGTTACAGTTTACTCCTAACATTGTATTTATATATGGGATTGGTTGAATGCCAGGGATAAATTATTAAATTTCACATTTGTTTCATTTGGAGTTTTGTGTATGTACCGTAATACGGGGTATAGGCGAACAATGATAAAAGTCACTTCGGCTACGCTTTGTTGATAACCAAGTAATAGATGCCGAAGAGTCGTTTCCCCCCTCGTCCCTGTTTAGTACCGACCTGCTGCGGGGTATCCAGGTCCCAGTTACTCAAAGGTTCGTTAGAGGTATGTAGTTGTTAGTGAAAAGAATCAAATGGTACTATTAAACAAAATAGCAAAATTAGCACTCAACATATTCCATTCTGGTCGTTCACATACAGCCATGAAATGATAGAGAATGTTTCCACATTTGTTAAATATGTATGTGAAAATTTTCACTGACAACTGTTTATCTCTAACCTTTGAATAACTAGGACCATAAGGTTTCTTTGACCTTTCACCTGAATAGGTTGTTTCTTTTTCCATGAAATTTGTCCAAGTCAATGCTTTAATTTGGTTTGTGTTAGGATCTGTTAACTTGTTTTGCTGATCCCCTCCGATCTAGTGAATTGTATGCCTTCTTGGGTTTTCACTAAATCTCCTAACAACTTCCCCGGCATCAGAAGTGTCAAAGTTCTAACAATCGGTCTTGTAAGCCTTAGTATTGTAATGTTTGACATAAAATAGAGTACAAAGATGACATAGATCGTATACAGAGACTGTACCATAAAAGACGATTTACTATTTATAAGCAGTGTGACAATAACTCCTTGTCTATATTATAGACTTCCACTGAAGACGATTTACTATTTATAAGCAGTGTGACAATAACTCCTTGTCTATATTATAGACTTCCACTGAAGACGATTTACTATTTATAAGCAGTGTGACAACAACTCCTTGTCTATATTATAGACTTCCACTGAAGACGATTTACTATTTATAAGCAGTGTGACAATAACTCCTTGTCTATATTATAGACTTCCACTGAAGACGATTTACTATTTATAAGCAGTGTGACAATAACTCCTTGTCTATATTATAGACTTCCACCGAAGACGATTTACTGTTTTGAAGCAATGTGACAATAATTCTGTCTGTTTACACAGATTTGGAACATTGTAAAAATAATTCATCTCTTGTCATCGAACATTCTTCACGCAATCACGAGTTGAGGTGTCACCTTGAGAGCTGTGTCTGTATATTTGTATATTTTGAGCACCAACAAAAAAGACAAGCCATGATGATATTGAAATCCAAACACATTTATTGTAGACAGTGTGGATACTACTGAAACTGCTCCAGTTGTTTTAATGTCTGGAACTAGTGAAGCATTACTTTGATTAACATCCATCGAACTTTTGATGTTTAGGTCACGTCAAAGGAATCTACAACGATAAAAGTCACGTGTTCTACTGGGTGATCCTTCGTTAGAATAAAGTAATTAAACAGTATCTAATTTAAAAAAATGTACAAAAGTCACAAAATCCAACAAGGCGACAAAACCAAAGGTCGACATCATCAACAACTATTTGCACGAATGACGATCAAGACTAAAGCGTGTGTAAAATCCTGCCAGACAACACAGCATCTTTGTCGTGTGGTGGTGGATTAACACGTCCCCAAGCGTCTGATGTGTCATCTCGAGTCGACAGGTTCAGCGTTCAGATGTACAAATACAAGGACGGAGAAACTCAGGAACACATTTCTCTATTGGCAGCACACAGATACAACCAGTATCTAGACTTAAAATACAGACCAAGGTTGAAAGGAATCGCTCGAGACACATAACAGCTTGTAAAATCCTTATTTAAGAATTATGTGTGTTATTCATTTTTTTATCATATCAAAATTTCCTTTTTTTTCAAACTAAAAAGGTTTCCGTTAGTAACTTTGATAATAAGGTGATCCAAAATAAATGTTGGAGAAGACACTGAAATTGATTCAGTATACTATATAAGTATTTCTCCAAACATTGTTGAGGACTAGATAACTGTAATAACTTACGCCATATAAAGTATCAGGCCACGTCTGGATAAAATTGAACAGTTAAGCAGAGCAATATCCTATATCTACCTGTATCACCTATTCCGGAGACTAGCCGTTACATTATCACAAAGACTTTTCACACATACATCCAAATAAACACATCAAACAAATACACACGAGCGTAACTGTCTTGTCCAGACTCATTTCTGGGGGAAATGTAGAGCCGAGCCCTTCATGTGTATATACTGAATCAACATCTATTGAAATGTAAGAGGATAATGTATATAAAAACAAGCCGTTTTGAGACCATCATTTAAATAAGACTGAAATCTTATAGTCGATGGAGCAAGTTCATAATATGCAAAAATTAAACACTCAGTGACCGTGGCAGGGATACAATGCCAAAATACATCCAAGACACTCGCAATGTCCATCAAGGAGGAAAACAACGAAAACGTCATTCTCCGTAAAACAGGAAATAGACGTAATAAATTGAAGAAAACAAACTACTAGATATCATTTAATGTACTAGCATTTATCATATTTCTTTCAAACTATTCGAAACATTCCCATATTATCATTTGTAGCTCTTGCAGTCCAAGTTTTCCTCTGTCCGTTACCTGGTCACTGATATGCGATATTGCAAATACTCTCCTTCCCTGAAAAGAAACTCAAACATTATGAAAACTATTTTTTTCACAAAATAGATGTCAGTGTGAACAAGAAAAAGTGTTCTAATGAAAAGAAACGTTACCGGAGAAGGAAAGATCAACATGTCAACAACAAGTATCAGTGACATCATATCTCAAAACAACCTGTTAACACGTATCAGTGACATCATATCTCAAAACAACCTGTTAACAACATGTATCAATGACATCATATCTCACAACAACCTGTTAACACCATCAGTGACATCATATCTCAAAACAACCTGTTAACACTATCAGTGACATCATATCTCAAAACAACCTGTTAACAACATGTATCAATGACATCATATCTCACAACAACCTGTTAACACGTATAAGTGACATCATATCTCAAAACAACCTGTTAACAACATGTATCAGTTACATCATATCTCAAAACACCTGTTAACACGCATCAGTGACATCATATCTCAATAAACCTGTTAACAGGTATCAGTGACATCATATCTCAAAACAGCCTGCTAACAACACGTATCAGTGACATCATATCTCAAAACAACCTGTAAACAAGTATCAGTGACATCATATCTCAAAACAACATGTTAATAACAAGTATCAGTGACATCATATCTCAAAACAACCTGTTAACACGTATCAGTGACATCATATCTCAAAACAACCTGTTAATAACAAGTATCAGTGACATCACATCAAACTAGATCAATATGTCATAAACAGAAAAAACACGCATTTAAAGATAATCTCATCAGTTATTCATTTCCGCGTATTTTATTGTTGAAACATCTGCGTTCACTACAGCAGAGAAGAGGCTTGAATCCCGAAAGGCATTACAATAATAAAATATCATGGTTTGATTCAATAAATTTGATAAACGCCAAATTTCATGTGCAATAAAAATCTATATACAGTAACATTATAACGTATGTGTTTCATGAAAAAATTGAAGTAAAATGTCGACAGACTTTCAAATGTCTGCTTCGTGTACAGCTGCCTGCAACACACGAGACGAAATTTAATCAATTAAGCCCATTTACATCGTGATCACAAACTTAGACATCGGTAAACAAGAAAATGCGACATTTGCTGAAAAAAGAAGAAACATGTCACTGAAGATTTGGAGATGATGACGGTGTTAAGATGTTTACATGATAATGTGTGCACGTTCATTGGAGCGAGTGGGCGAGGAACGCACGCGTTCAAACATTATAAAGACATATCAAAAGACCATCCTCCCAATGTAATTGTTCTCAGCGTCTTTGTTGAGGGGATTTTACTGCAATGCATGTCCGTAATTAGGTCGCAGCCATGAATCCTGGATCAATCTCCTCAAAACCATCATACTTTTCCTAGGCTGCCTTTAATTACAGCAGTGTGGCAAGGCTTTCTACATTCCACAAGCGAAAGAATGAGTTGCATAATGGGGTTATACCGCAAACGGTGTCCCACACTGTATGTACTTCTATTATCATTAATGCATTCAGATACAAAACTCGTTTTCGAAAATGCTTCTTACTGATCGAAATGTATGGATGTTGGTAAGCGTTTGTTCTATGTCTGACATATAACTAGTAACATTTCCAAATGAAGACACGACAGGAAACGGAACCAACAAGTACATGTATACTAACGAGGATCAAACACGCCCGTTTTGATATCGTACTAGGGAACAAACTATGAATCAAACACTGTTTATCTCAATGTATCACAATATCACAAATATACACTGTTTATCTCAATGTATCACAAATATACACTGTTTATCTCAATGTATCACAATATCATAAATATACACTGTTTATCTCAACGTATCACAATATCACAGATATACACAATATCACAGATAT